AATTTTTCATGTTCTTTACATCTGTAGGCCTACAGATTACATGGATCAATCTGCAATCACTGAAGCTAATAATTTCCAACAGATTTCGTAGCACATTATTAAAAAATCAACGAATAGAAGAGCGGGCAAAAAAATGCAATGCATACCATAATTTCCCGATAATTAGGAACGATTTTTGTGAAGTAATAGGTTTTAAAAAGTGGACTTTTTGAGAAAAGCGACAAAGTAACATTTTGAGGGTCTTACATAATAGATTTCTCAAACACATAGTTCATGAATATTTCATTTAAATTTTCATGAATTTGGGTGTTTTTGGGACCTGAAAAAGTAACGTTATTATGTCCTGTACATCTGCAGGCCTATAAATAACATTCTTCATATTATACAGATCAATTTGCAATCACCGGAGACGATCAATTTCTAACAAATTTCATACTACATTATTAAAAATCAACAGTTAGATAAGCTGGCAAATATATAATGCAATGCATGCTATAACATTTTGTGATAATTAGGAACGATTTTGTGAAATCATAGGTTTTAAAAAGTGGACCTTTTGGAATTTGGGGCGGGGGGTAAGTCCGCACCCTCTGCATCCCCCACCCTGCCTACGGGCCTGAATTATTAGATTGTGATATCATTGTGTTAGTCGTAGTAGCCTTTTAATGATAATTTATTAAGAATATGAGCCAACTCTTTGTTTCCATAACCTTAATGATGATTTATTATCTTTATATATCTCTGATATAGGCCTAGGTGTTTCTTCATACTATTACTACTACTAATTTTACTACAGATAGTCGGATGACTTTCCCGCTCAGCTGCTTTGCTTATGTCTAGAAAAGTAGCCACAGTATATTATGTATTTTTATTTTAGCTTATTAACCATGAAATACTCGCACAGGGCTGAAACATAGCGCAAACCACTTCACAGCCGTCGACAGTGCAAGAAATCTGGCCGGTACAGGGGCGTCTGGTTCGAACTTTCAACCACGAGGTTCAGAGAACCTGAATAGAATATGCGGCGCCCCTCGTTTTACATAGTACATCATCCCCCACCTCGGCTCTATTCTTACGCTATTGACTAGTGGTTCAACTAACGTTCAACAGGTCAAAACCCTGGAGTGCGCTCAGATGATCTGAAGGCCTTTAATATTTCCATACTGATCATACCACATCTGTATGTATACGTTATGTTATGACTAACAGTGTATTTTCTATAAATAATCACTTATAGATATGATATTACGGCATATTTGCATTTTATAACATTTTAGTTATTCCTAACTTTACTATTGTAATATTTTTTGTTATATACATCTCAAACTAACACATTTATTTACGTTTATGTGGCCCCTAATTAGTTCAATTTATTACACTAATTCGAATGTAAAATAGATTTGAACTCGTCACTAAGGACGAGTCCGGTGATCCGCTGTACTTTGACCCTCATAAAGCTCACGCGTTGCTGATTGAAAAGTGTCATAATATGCTAAAATATGATGTAATTAGTTTATTAAAAAAGAATAATTTTGAGCATTTTAAAAGATTTACGCATGCGTACACGTACGTCTTGACGCCCGTGAGCACGGTATTAGCACAAAGAGTGACTTCTGATATGAATAATGTGTCAGGAACACAAAGTATGTAACAAAACGTGATGTCCAGCTTCAGTACGTGTTGCGTGCGTGGAAATAAACGTATGGCGCGTAAATATGGAAAGTTTTGGAATGCTGAAAATGACCTGAAACGTTCTTCAAACTATCTGAATAGTGATATGGAGGATTTTCAAATTTTAACAGACGTGCATGTCACGATGTGTGCGTGTATAGTAATGGCACACGAAATTAAACATTGTCAAGTGTATTTAAAACCGC